CTCTCTCTCTCTCTCTCTCTCTCTCTCTCTCTCTCTCTCTCTCTCTCTCTCTCTCTCTCTCTCTCTCTCTCTCTCTGTGCAGTTGTTCCCCGCATGCAGTTCGTCCCCCCCCTCCGCCCGCAGTTCGTCTCGGCCGTTTGTTTTTTCAAGAAGACAAAAAGAACGTATTAATTTTTCTTTCATTTTCTTCTCTTTTTTATTTTTTTTGATTCTCGGTCTGCCTGTGATTTTGCGCACGGCCGGTCGCTCCCCTTCCCGACCCCCCATGTTAACCGCCGCATGTTTGTTTTTCAAGCGGGGAAATGTACTGGTGGTTTAATGATGTTATGATCGCTCATGTGTCCTTGTCAGTGCAACAAGCTCAGTGTGATGAGGAAAAAGCGGGCATGCCATAGACCCCTGCTACAGTCCCTTCCCTCCAAGAACGGACACACCCCCCCCGTTCTGCTTTCCCTTTTCCCTCTCCATTCTGCAAACCAAACTGCAATGAAGGCAACCACCTGTTCAAGAAAATAGCATGAGGAGGCAAGCATTCAGACCACCTTGAGGTGAAAAAGACTGTAGATGTCACATCATCAAGGAGTCATAAAGAATACATGGACAAGACCGGTGTCAATAAAGTGCTCTCCGTATATGTGGTTCAGGTGTCATCAAAGGGGGTCCCCATATGCATTGGAACCCAACTGCTGCATCGCCCCCCAACTGCTGCATCCCCCCCTTAACAGATCGGAACAAGCGCCGCTAGGTTCTGTTTTCTGGGGGGGGAAAGACCAAAAACAAAGAAAGAAAAGAACAAGAAAAAGAGGGAAAAGAAGAACAGGGGCAAGAGCTACAAAGTCTGATACAGACTATGCTCCTTACCACTTCCATGACATGGGGATCCCATATCTTGCACGTTTCATCTTGGCTCAAGGAGACCAATCGCTGACGGCCCATACAAGTGACAATAACAACAACAACAACAACAACAACAACAAAAAGGAAGGAATATTAATTGCACACTGAAACACACTATGCATCAGACACAAACCCATTCAGAGGCCAAACATCCCCATGTCATGGAAGTGGTAACTGACCTCAGCTCATCTAGTAGTGTGAACCTGAGACCGAGTAATTGATGAAAGGGGTGAGAGAGTGCCGAGATACTGTTTACTACCGTCTTAACCTGAATAGAATCCACAGTCGTTATGGCTGATCTCGGGGCATATTTCAGTCTATAGATACAAAGATAATGACTTTTTTCCATTCTATTCGGGTGAAGATGGTACGTGGTGCTCGGCAGAACAACAAGGGCAAAAACTCGACCTCCTTAGTGCCGTTTAGTTCAATCACACCCGTAATCATGTCCACTCCCAACCACTTCTCTTGGAATCCTTCGCTTACACGTACTTCCCTCTCTTGATATCATCTCTTTATGCTCTCCTTAATAGCCCTTATCCTTTTTCTTATTGATTTATTTTCCTTATCCTTTCCTCACCCTTCGAACTCCGCAGAAGAACGAGGCCAGAAACTCGATCTCCTTAGTGCCACAGTCCCAATCAAAGCCATCATCATACAATGGGGGGCACTCCCAACGCTTCTGTTGGAATCCTTTCCTTACAACTTCTTCCCTCTCTTCATGTCCTTTCCTTATCGTTTCCTTATTTATCCTGGTTTGCAATCATCACCACCTGCGATATGCATAGCTACGATCCGGACAGCCGGACAGGGATCCGGACTGACCGGTGTCCGGCGTCCGGTCCAGGTTTCCGGATCCTGGTCCGGATGGTGGGAAAATGGGGGGTAGCCCAA